TCGGAGCGTCTACGTGAAAAGAGAAGGAAGACATTGCTGGTAGTATTGTCTTCAGAGTTGTTAAACACCTCAGCGCACTGAAGGAAGCCATCTGACTGTGTGAGGGGCAAGATCGTTGATGTCTGCAGGCAGAGTAGGAGCTCTCCTGTCTGACTGGTCCACCAATAGCAGAGAAGATGACCCCTTGAGACACAGCCCCTCCTCATTTGCATAATGAGGCAGAAATGCATACAAAAATTTAAAAAAGACAGGCAGAAATAAATACCATGGGTGAAAATAAGGTAATTATAACAAAGGTGAATAAGTAAAGGCACTAATTAAAATATATATATATATATAATCCGAGCAAATTCAATAGGGACCTCACACGGTCGTGCTCGGGCCCTAAAAAAAATAAAAAATAAATAATCCGAGCAAATTCAATAGGGACCTCGCACGGTCGTGCTCGGGCCCTAAAAAAAATATAATCTTAGCAAATTCAATAGGGCCCGAGCACGACCGTGCAAGGTCCCTAATTATCTTTGTAGGAACCAAGTACACTGTAAGAAGGAATCATAATATCACTACTAGGAAATTCAGTTGTGGAATGAGGTGCAATATTGTGATGCCTTAATAGCATCACAGTCCTGCAATAACAACTTACCTTTATCTTGGTCATTCCCACTTAGAAAATACACCTGATAAAAACAGTAATACAAGTAATTAGCTACTTTAATAAATTAACTTCTAATTAGAAAATCCCAATAACAAAAGATTGTAGGTTTTAGATAACCATAAGATACAGCAAATCATTATCTGTGCCAAAGAATGTTCTCTAAATAAATAACTAATATGCAGTAGTCTTTCCGTTATTATTATGATTATTACTAATTCATATACCTGCTCTAGAAAAACTTCTTGCACTCTCGAGTACTTCTTTGAACAACTGCTTTTAAGGCCTAACATTTGGTTAACAGTGTCAAATATGTAATGCCATGCAGAAATGTTTGTTCACCATCATTCAAATTATGACATATTTTATATAAGGACCAAACATTATAGAAAAGACATCTTATTGATTGATATCAATGGTTATAACATGTATCTGTATATTTGTACAGAAGGGCCAGTGTACATTGATGTTTTAGTTCAAGCATGTTTCCTTTAGCAACTCATGAACATGTGTCATGACAGAGTGCAGATAAATATCCATTATGACCATTCACTAACCCACTGAGACTGCAGCTTGACTGACAGCACTGACCTGTCTGTACTCTCTAAGCCTCTTATCACATCCTCACTGAAACTGCTCTTTCTGCGGCTGTGATGCTGTACAAGCTCCCTGAGCTTTTAACAGTGATTTTCTTTTCATCTGACACTTTTCGCTTGACAGTTGAAATACCTCTGCATTTGCATGAGTTTTCTTTTCAGTATAGTTCATTGCAGGTCACATATTATTAGATGTGTTGGTTTTGTTATAGATCCAACAATTTCCCAAATCACAAATCATTTTGGGGGATAATGTTAAGAGATTTTAAACTTTGGTAAGATTTGTATTTGCAGATACTACCATATTTTAGTAAATTAGTTTTGTAAAGCACAACTCTGCAGTGGAACAGTGGATTAGTGTACACTTTCTCTCTAATTGGACACAATTCAGATTATATATCATAGATATCCCATATATTTTTGTGAAACATGACAGACTCCAAAATGACTTTTAAAGGTAGGTGGGTAAATATTTTCATACAGCTGTCAATGACTCATGGCACTAAAGCCCAACAGACTTCACTGAAAGGGTTGAATTTCACTGAGCCAGAGTTTTCATTTAGCTTATTCATATTCTTCAAAATCAGTAGAAGGGAACTCTTTCTTCTATGTTGTGCTAATTGTGTTTAATTGAAAAACATGCTTATATATTCTAACCACTGCAAGTTCATTGTACAATATTTTCATCAATGTATCAAGTGTCTTTTCTTACTCATTCTTGAAATTCCACTAATTTGTGATATATTTGAGTTTAAACAAATGCAGAAGACCCAGGAGGACGATGACACTCGAGGAAAAAAAAATAGCTTGGGTACTTTAAATGTCTTCATCCGGTGTGAAGATGGCTATGATCGACAACATGAGTAAGACCATAAGCATCTAAGCTTAACAATATTATATTAAATCATACATGCTGTCATAATTGTTGGCCCTCCTGTTGTGTGTAAACTTGTGTCATTTGACTTGTGCATATCTGCGGCCTATAAAGATGCTGTAACAGTACAGCACGTTATTCCCAAGCCTGCTGTGCACTAGCTCCATTGTGTTGCTTTAACGCTTATGACAATAATGGTGTTGATTGCAATATAATGGCTCTAAAATTACCTGGAATATGTCAGTGCTCATGAAGCTCTCTTTTATAAAACAACATCCCACACACTGAGCAAATCTTTGTGAAGAAATTATGCAACGTCACTGAAAACCCCTGGAGGATTAAAGCATGGCTCGAGCTGCATTGATGAGTGTTGTTTTGTGCTCAGAGAAGACACTGTGACAGGCTAATAAATATTCATCCCAAAGATAGTGTGAGGAAAAAGGGAAGGTGTGAAAAGAGAGCTCATGCAATGAGAAGTTTGGGAAAGGAAAAGGTTTTTTTGTATAATGTCTGATACACCGAGGGAGCCTATATTTTCAGGAATGAATGCACTTTGTATGAAATAGATTCCACACTTGCCATTAAGCAGAACCAGCTAGGCTACACTGGAAAGCTATCTTTTGTAAACAGATGCACAAAGATCACAAAATATGTCAGAGGTGCTATCATAAGAGAGGAGTTAGTCAGAACTCTGAGTGGTAGAACAAAGGAACTAAGGTGTAACTGAGACTCAACATAGTAGAGCACTGAGCTATAAATTTCAGTAATCTGAGATAGGTATGTGGCAAATTGAAAAATCACCTTTTAATGTTTGTCAGGTAAATTTATTTACTCAAAAATAGAGAAATACAAAGCATGTTTCTATGGTCTATAGGATGATTAAAGTATAATGTATTTTATTTATTTTCTTAAGTTGTTTTTAACAAGACTTTGGCAAGAATTTAAGCTTCATGTCATATTGCAGATATTATTTACAACGCAATTTATGGAAGATAGAAAAATCAAGTCACGCCATTTTTATTTTTGTAGCCTAAAATCACAAATTTGCCTCAAAGCAGTTTACAATCTGTACCACATGTGACACCATCTATTCTTAGACCCTCAATTCAGAAGTAAAAACTTTCCCAAATAACCCTAATGGGAAAAATGCAGAAACCACAGGAATAGCAGTAGATTGATTCCTCTTTGAGGGTGGACAAACGTGCAATATATGTTTTATAGTCGATAGATGTGATAAATAAGTAAAGATTGTGCTGCAATGCAGTCATCTCAGTTATCAGACATTAATATGCTTAAGCAAGTTCTATGAGTTGTACACAAGAGCTAATTGCCTTACAATATACTGAAGAAAATACAAAACAGAGGTTGGTTCACCCAAATCTCTCTCACACACGCATACACAGTCACATACTTTTGGGAAAATTACATAGATTTTAATTTCCTGGAGACTTACCCTAACCAATGACGTCCAAATAAACTTTTTCCCTATTGGGGACATGGTGTTTGTCCCCAATTGGAGATGCCAAATCTATAGACTTATGCCAATGTTGCACAACAACAAACATAAATACAGAAATACAGCATGAAATACAACACCATGAGATGGAGAAGAATTTCTATTCAGCTCTATAGAGGTCCTTTCTGTGCCCATTTAGGTATTTACCACATGACTGTGCAATACTAAGTTAAAACAGGCTGGTATGTGTTTGAAAGTACATCCTTGCCATTCCCAAACCTTCTCTGACATTACTTTCATCATTCATATATTAATAATTGATTGTTTGTTTTAATTTTAGTGGCACCATAATCCCATTTCAATTTACTATATTGAAACACTACATGTACATGGTAGGTTTAGTTACATAAGTCAAATGTTCTAAACACCCTTCTGTAAACATGTTTTAAAAAGTATTAAAATTACTTCTGACTTTGACCCTGGTCTATTTTGATATATTTTACAGCCTTTAATAACAGATGGCAGGAATGGGCTCCACCATCAGCATGCACTTCAGAGAACTTTGCCTTCAGGGCTTTCTGACAGAAAGGCTTTGTACATTTCTTTTTTTCCCTAAACCTAACCAAGTAGTTTTGGTGCCTAAACCTAACAAAGTAGTAAGGCTTTCTGGCAGGAGACCCTGAGGGTAAACTTCTCCCATGTGCTATCAGCAGCCAAATGACTGCCACTGATTGATCTGCAACACTAGAGACCGCCAGTGAGCCATGTTACGCGCGTGGTGCTGGGCAAACGTGAATGGTTTAGTAAATGTGTCTTATGGACTGTATAGGCCTATTGGCTGCAATGGCATGATGGTCATAATGAAAGCACAGAGGCTGCTCGTGACACTGACACTAATGAAAAAGCTTGGTAAAGGCTCAACACGTGAGCGAGAGTCAAAACGTAGGCTACAACTTCTGCAGGTTGTGCGTAAAAAGGCTTCTGTATGTGCAGAGATTCTCACGTGATTCCCATTGATTATTGATTTCATGGTGAAGGCTGATTGATGATCTTGAGGTTTATGATAATGAAAAACATATTCATATCATTACTGGTGACATTACCAGCAATGTATCTATAGCCTACTTCTGCTTTCGCCTGCGCTCTTTTCGTCTCAGAGCAGCGCCAGGTTTCTATGCTACACATGAATAGAATGGGCTGTCTGTCATAATTATTACCATTATCAAATATGGTGACAACAACAACCCTTAAAGCTGTATTTCATGGCAATGGGCGCTTTTTTTGAAAAAATAAGTGATAGTGGCCAATGTAAAATATGAATTACGCATATGAATTACCCAATTTATTTCTATTCAAATGCCACCAGTTGTGATGTAGAAGGCGAGACAGGAACCTCTGATGAAATGGTCAAAAGCACTGAGAGCGCACGGATTCCTCGCCTCAGCTGAGTAGACGACCTCCTACAGACTTACTTCACGTCACCCCGCCCGTCTGCCTGGCGTCTCCTCCCTAAAACATTTGCTGCGACCATCCCTTTGAGCGACTCCGAGCTGAGAGGAGAAAAAAAAGAGACAGAGGGGGAAAGTGAGAGAGCCAACAGCACACTCCCAATATCACCTATAGTAGGCTACCTGCTTCAGTACATCAAGGGGAGGAGGACGCACAAGTGCAGGCGCGTCCATGCGTGCCAGCCGAACAAGACAATAAGCGGGCAAAAGGACCACAAATCCAAAATTGGAATAAGAGTTTATCTTGAGAACTCTTTGGAAGAGAGCACAGCTATACAAGAACAAGACAACCTAGATGAGTACATGGTAAGAAGAGCCATGCATCTCAACAGAGAAGAAGATAACAGCAAAGGTGAGCAAAAGATTTCAGCGGCCATCGGTGGATGCTTTTAACCTAGACTCTCTGATTAGTTCAAAGCTCTCGCGTTGGTTGCCAGATGCCCTTGAGTGTGTCACGTTGATGTCAAGTGATTATGCTGGGGGTCATATCAACAAGCTGACGGTAACTGTTGTGAAGGTTCTGTTAGTGCCTGTCTACCTTTCACCAAAACGCACTGAAAAGCTTTGCATGGCAGCGAGGAGAGATATTGCATACACCCAAGGTGGCATTGTAGTGACTGCCTGCCAGGCAGCCAATCGAGCACTTGTTGTGCTCGATTTGAACGTTTTCGCACGAGGTGACCTGAGCATAAATGCACAAGGTCATCCATTCTCGGTCTTACTGATGAGCCGCCCGCCGTGTTTGTGTCGCTATGAGGCGCGTGTGTTTGTATTGTTGTCTGTGATTGAGTCGCCACGGATGTGTGTCGTTGTGGTAGGAGGGTAGAATTAGAGAGCAGACGGTGTGTAATGACACGAACCTTCCATCAGGATAAGTAATGATGATGCCTCTGCTCTGGCAGAGCCATGCAGGGTTTTTTTTTGCTCTAAATCTTTGAACTGAGGTCGAGGTCACTGACTAACACCTGATGCTGGAGGAGATTTGCCTCTGAATGTCGGTTGAAATGACGCAGCCTGTGTCTTATTATGCATTGTTAAATAAACACCAATATGACTTGTCTAGTGTCCACCACACCCACATGGGGTTAAGTTAAGCATCATTTCCAGGACTGACATGCAGCATGTACAGTATGACCATCATCTGCAGTGTTTAACCTGTAGACTTGTATTACATTCATCAATTTATTGCATGTAATGTTAATAAATCCAACTGTAAATAAAAATGTAAAATAAGTGAGATATCAGCACCACAGTTCTGGCCAGAATTTCAGTTTTGTTAGTTAAAATAATAAGTACGCTATACCACACTGTAAGTTTTAGAAATCTCTCTCCATAAAGTCTCATTTTCTCACATCTGAGCAGCATGTTGATAATGATGTGGCATTGCTGGCAAGGGAATACAACATTTCATTTTTTATGTGCAGCTGTCAAGCATTATGGGCGGCTAATATCTTTGTTTTTACCAGCTGTAAAGCATGCTGTTAAGTGAGGAGTTCCCCATGCGGTGAGTGGTGCCCTGCACAGTGGCCCTCATCCAAAATGTCATACAACCTCATTGCCAGATATGGTCTCACCAGGGACAAAAGATGAGTCACCATCTGCAACTTTGAGTGATTTCATGATTACATGATAGGTGTGTATGTGTGTCTGTGTGTGTGTGTGTGTGAGAGAAAGAGAGAGAGAGAGAATGCGTGTGTCAGAGAAAGAGATCGGCAGAGAGTGTGTGTGAGTGTTTGTGCTGTATCTGAAGGTGAGAGGGAACCTGTGAGAGAGGTGTGCAAGTCAAAAAGCATTGATGAAAGGTTGAAATATAACCGCAGAACACAGCCATGCTGAAGCACAGGACCTCATATTTTGAAAGTATGGATGGAAAAGTTTTCTATAAATGCAGCCGAAGAACTTTGATGATTTCTACCAGTGAAAACATATTAAATAACATCAGCGACAATAGTGCTAATATTACCGACAATACCAGGGACAGGGGTAGCAAATTAGCCATAGCTAGAAACCTGTTTGTATGGCATTTACTTTGTATTATTTAAGAAGCAATGTCTCATGGATTTGTCTCAAATGAACAAGTAAATTAAAACACAATAACAATAAATATACTGTTAATCACAATGGGGATTTTCAGCATTGCAGCAGCCAATAATAATAATAACAATTATAAAAGAAATCTCTGGCAACGACTCCTCATCAAGTCACTTCAATTCAGTTCAGTTTAATTAAATTACTTTATATATCCCTAGCGGGTTAAAAAGTAGAGCAAAAACATACCATACATCTTAATAAAATATACAGAACTAGCTAATACAGTAAATAATTAAAATGCATAATATTAAAAAGTGCTGATGTTGATATTTTCAAAATTTACAAATGATCCACATTCAAGCAAATACATTACAATACTATACACGAAATCAAGTAAATCTCTCTCAAAATGCTGACATAATGATTAATCCATCTTTAAGCTGTAAATCTTTCTCTGACAAACAGCTATTCTAACAGTGTAATTTACAGTATGTGACATATTAAAGATGCCTGAAGTTCTGTAATGGTCTATAGGGCTATAGCCTGTTTTTTACCACAACTGAAACAGATGGTGTTTCATGCTTATAGGCCATCTACTGTGTCAAAATGAATCAGTGCAATAGCTCAGATTCATTACCAAAAACATTATAGCCCAGCCTCCAGCTTTAATTGTCATGTTGCATTACTTTGGATAGTCTAGACAACTCAGAAATACATTTAACACATTTTCCTGCAGAGACGTTCTATTTCAAGATTCATTTTAGGAAAGCATAAAGTGTTTGTTTGCTAAAGCATTTGTAATTTATGTTAAAAATGAGCATCAGGGAGTGAAAGTATGAATCTGCAGGCTTACATTAACTCTCCTGTGAGGTTAAGCTGTGACGTGAACTAAAAAGGCAGATATCAGTCAAACTTGTGATACCCCGGAAGACTGCAAATGTCTACTCAAATCAACTCCCTCACAAATTGCACTTACCTGTGATGTTATAAATTAAAAATGAAAGTATTAACTATGCCTGAGCAACACTTAGTTGGATCTCATTAGTTTGCATGTGCTTTAAAAAAATGTTTTCCTTATGCCTGAGGTTCATGCTGCAGGGGGTTGTCATGGAGCAGTGAATAAGACACATGCCATTGGTGTGAGAGACTCGGGTTTGAATCCACCGTCAGACACCAACGTGTCCCTGAGCAAGACACTCAACCCCTAGTTGCTCCAGAGGCATGCAACCTCTGTCATATCATATGTAGCATTGTAAGTCGCTTTGGATAAAAGCATCAGCTAAATGAATAAATGTAAATGCAGGATCCATTCGCTGGGGCCTCTGTAAACTGTAAATTGGGCAGCACATGGTGTAGTGACAAGCATTATTGCATCACAGCATGAATAAAGATGCACCGATACAACTTTTTGTCTCCTGATATCGATTCGGATACTTCAACTCAGATTATCCGCCAATACAGAGTACCAGTTTGATACCAGTGCCTGTTTGCAAATTTAATGTTCTACAGTGTGTGATATTTATTTATTTATTTTGTTCATGCCGTTTTACAACATTTTGTTTGGCTTTCTTTCTTTCAGACCAACAATAAACACACATATATATATATATATATATATATATAGTTTTTTTCCATGAACGAAAAAAAGGAAAAGGAAGAAGAAAAATCTTGTAGTACCTGTCACTTTTTGTGCACATCAAAAGAAACAGAAACAGCCGCTTTATGAATGGATCAACCCCAATCCTCTCCCCAATCACTAAACATTTTCAGTAATACCTATCTTTACACTTAATTATCATCATTTTTAAATCTTTTTTTCCTGCCTTTTTAAACGTGTTTATCATCATTTTTCTTGTAACATTCCTGTATTTTTTACAATATACAATATGTGGAGCTGCCACATAATGAAACATAAAAAGACAGTAAATAAAGTGTCAATACTACAAGAGATTTACTTTCAGTGTTAAAAAAAGTATTCTGGGCCTCATTTGTGTTGCTGTCAGTGAATGGGTTTATATTTTATGTCAAATTGCAATGTGAATTCTGTGGTGTCTGAATAGAAAAGAATTATTTTCACAAATATTGATCAGGCTGTCCTAGTCTATGCAGTAAGAAAATAATACTTTACTTGCAATCTACAAGATGTTATTACATATTTCTTCTGAAAAGCACTGCCATTTGTATTTCTCAGATCATTTGTGATGATTGAGAGGAATGACTGCATCATGGCTCATAAGCAGAAATACGTTTTGTGGTGTTGTAGTATTCTGTAGTTTGTATGTTGAAGTCTTTCTCCATTATATTGTAATGTCTCCAAAACAGGCCAGGTGGAAATATCAGGTGGACAGTAGGCCTCAGTGCAAGGTGCGAAAGAGAATCATTATTAATCCAGCATGTGAACAGTCAGAGATAATTGCGTAATATTAGTAGCATTCGGATTCAGAGGAAAACATTTAATTAATGTTATGGTTCAAAACTAATGGGCTGGAATCTTATTAGTGGTTTGAGACAAGCTGCGAGAGAAAAGAGAGACAGAGCAGTAATTAATAGACTCTGAAACAAAGGTATTTACATTCCCAGTTTAACTCTGAGCCACACTGTTGGGAAGCAAGCCACTTATATTTACAGACTCGGGACAAGACGGTTAGGCCATGAGAGGCAAAATATTGCTCTGTTCTACTTAGCTGCACACATATTAATTACCAAGTAAGAGTACTGCATTAGATCACATCACAATGATAGCTGAATGGAAAAGTCAGACAGGAAGTAATATGTAATAAAAATACACAGTGTGTCATAGAGAGGTAGAGAGATGGGGTTGTGTGTGGGGAGCAGGGCTTGACAAATAATTCTTCAATGGTTTTAGAAAACTGTCTCATTGATTTCCCACATGGTGTACAATTTAAAATGAAAGAATTGTTCTCTGATGAATGCGTCAGCAGATTTGTCAGTCCATTTAGAAAATAAAATCATCAAAATCCTGTGAGGTAGCTTTTTTGTCTCCACTGGTGTGCCCTCTTTTTTCTAAACTAGGAGTGCAACATTAAGCTACACAGAAATATATATATTCATATTTAAATCAAAAGTAGACAGGTCCATACTAGAAGTAGTTAGACATTGACACAGACATTGAATAATGAATTATAAAAATGTACTGCTATATAAACACAAGTGCAATAACATGTGGTTTGCAAACACTTTAAACAAATAAGGTGCTTTTTACCAGCAGTATTCCCTTGTAGCAATAAATTATTTCTTGTTAATATCAACTTAAACATTAATGTAATCAAATCAAATATAAAACCAAAGCCATTTGCCACT